GGGGCCGGCCCCGCGCGCCGGGAGGGAGCTTTTAAAGCGACACACACGCCTCCCAGCGCCCGGAGCCGAGCGCGCGAGCCGGGGGGTCTCGCCACCCCAGGGTGCCGGAAGGACTGGGCGCTGGCGGGGCTGGAGGAGGGCTAGACCGGCTGCCGCCCGCTGCCTGGGGCGCACGGAGCCCGGGACTTGACTCCAAGTTCCTTCTCCTCCCTTTCACACAATCCCTTGGTCCTCCTGCCCCCCACTGCGGTGAGCTCCGGGCTTCCACTTCAGTCTCTTTCCCTTCTCTGCCATCATACCTCACCGCAAGCTGCCCCAAATCTTGTGTCAGTTCAGTAAATAGAATCCAACCAACCTTTACTGAATACCTATTTGTGTGCCACACTCTGGTTGAGAGGAAGGGGTTGGTGAATACCGGGGTGTTTTAGGTGGTTCGGTTCCCCTTGTTCTTCATCCAAGTTCTCAACAGTTTTTTGTTTGTTTGTTTTGTTTCGCTGGTTTTGTTGTTGTTGTTTCTTTCAGGGCCTTCAGTGGGCCTTGATCCCTGCTAGCTCTGTTGAGGAAGAAAAGTAACCCAAGAGGGCATTCTTGAGCAAACCGAAGGGTAGTGCATGCAGAACACAGGCAAGTTCTAGAAGCTTTGGTAGTAGCAGGTAAGGGGTGCCAAGGAAGAAGCACAGGCCAGCCACTCGTCCCCCACCCCTGAAGAGTTTTCCCAGGAAAGCAATCCTTGAGCTGAATCTTAACAGAGAAGTGGGAGTCTGGGTGACTGTGACCTGGGGGAATGGGGGGGGGGGGGATCAGCTACCCAAGGGGAAAGGTGGGTGGAAAAAAGGGCTCAGGAGCAGAAGGAGGGGAGGACAAGTTTCAAAGTGGCCCTGTTGATGCCATTGGGAAGACTGCATGAAGTGGGACAGAGAAAGACTGAACCGGGAGACAGGAGGCCATAGTTAGAAGCTTGGAATTTATCCTGTGGCAGAGGGGGCCTGTGCTGGGGATTGCGGGGAGCCGGGTCTTATGTGCTTTCCTAGGCGAACTCCCACACTCCTGATAGTCAATGGTGGGCTTGAGGAGGCCACAACCAGCTGTCCAATTAGGAGGTTCTTGCTGCGCTTGAACTGTGGGAAGCCAGAGTAGCAGCAGAGATGTGGGGGAAGGGACACTGCTTGGTGAAATCATCTGATTTCCTTCAACCTGAACTTAGAGAGGCAGGAGGGGGGGTCCTGTGCCCCTACTTCACAGGAGAGGCTGAGTAAATGGTTGTGTGTGTCTGGGTGGTCCGGCATGAAGAGCAGAAGTTTAGGCCATGCAGAGAAGGAAAATAGATCTCTGTTCTTAGAAGGGCTGGGGCTGGACAATGCTGGGCTTGTGGTCGTGGTTTTGGCTCATCCTCAGAGAAGGGTAGCTGTGCAGAAGTCACGTTTGCGGCTTCAGGACCAGGCTGGCGGCTTGGAAGAGCCCAGGAGTGAGAAAGGGAAGTAGCAGTCAGGGAGGTAGGACCAGAGCCCAGGGAATGGAGTTATGGACCCTGCATAGAGAGGCTCTGAGCCCCCAGCACAGAGAGGCCAGACACAACGGTGTCAAAGACTTCATCAGTGAAGGAAGGAAAGTGTTCATTGGCCTTCACATTTAGGGGGCAATTGGTGACTGGCAGGGACAATTTTCTCTGGTAAGAGTGTAAGTGGGTGAGTAGGGAATGACAAGATCCAAATTGTTGGGATTTATGACTGAATGGCTGGGGAGGAAGACATTTCAAAAGCTGGGCAGACAGGAAGTGGAGCCCCTGAATTAGAGAGGCAGGGAGGGCTGGGAACTTGGAGCTGGATGGAATTTTAAGGTGGCCCAGGGGATTCAGGTGTAAGTACAGTGATGGTGGTGTGGGTATCAATAGTTTAACTTGGCCTCTGAGTCCCCTCAGAGATTATGTTATGTTCCCATATAAAAAGCACCAGGAAGTTCCTCCTCTGTTGCCTTTTGATGGTACCTCGTTGTCTGGGCTGGGGACAGGTTCACCTGAGGAAGTAAGCTTAAATTTGTGACAAACTGCACTCAGTAGCACAAGGACATTTTATCTAGAGTCCATAGAGTCCATAGTTCATTGACATTAGGTCCATGGCATGGAAGTCACACAGTCCCAACCCTGTTTCTGCAGAAGCTATGAGGCTGGGGGACAGCCAGTACCAAGCATGGACTAAGCCTGAAACAGGGAAATGAGTCTCATCTTAGGCTTGGAACTATCTGCTGTCGGCCACAGTAGGAGTGATGCCCTGTACATGGGAGTGTCGAGAGCCTGTGAGGTTTCAGATTAATATTTACTAACTGATCTTGGCTCTCATTAGGAAATTCAGTGTGTGGGAAAGGGGAGGTGATATTTCTTTTGTCTTTGCTGTGGCTCCAACTATGCCTAGGACCCATCCATAGTTGGACTCTACAGGATATGCAGGGCCAGTGGACAAATCCCGTGAAGAATGGTTGGGCTGACTGGAGTCAACTGAGAAGAGCAGACTCAGAGAAGGTGTTTCTGAGTGGAGCTCTTGAAAGATCTGCCATAGAACGGAGGTACCAGACAGATGTGGGAACGTTCAGACTTGCTTCCCTGAGTTTTGGGGGATTGCCACTCTCACTTCCCTGCACACTCAGCCAGATGTTCTATCCTCTAGGCTCAGCTTTGCTCCCCCCACTGCCTCCTCCATTTCCTGGTAGTCTTCTCTAATCCTTTAGTCTACAGGAAGCTTTGTTTTGCCCTTAATCAAATACTTCCCAGTATGTTTATTTGTGTGCTAGGTGTGACCTCAAGCAAGTCATTTAACCTTTGTGAGTGGGGATAAGGGACCCATAAACATTTGTATATTTTTCTGAATTGGCTAGCATAGGGCAGAGGGGTGGGAAGATTTTATCTTATTTTATTTTATTTTACTGTCTCTTAGAAAAAAAGTGGGATAATAGCAGTACCCACTTCCAGGATAGTGCCAGGCCCCTGTAGATGCTCATACATGGTAGATAATATCAGTTCTTATTAATGTCGTCATGTCTGTAACTGTGTTTTTCTTGGAGGCTGCGAACTCCACGTGGGGATGTTTATGTGTGTCCTTCCTGTCTCTCACATGAACGGTGACAGCTAGTGGCTCCTTCCTCTCTTCCCTGATTTCCATCATCTCACTTCTGACATCCTCTTCCTTTGGGAAATGTCTCTCTATTGTCACATATTTGTGGTAGGTTGTCAGTTAAAATTTTATCCATCCCTGCTCTACTGCCATCAGGTAGACATGTGACTCAGATGGCATCAACCATAGACCCCATCCTCCAGCCACAATGGTTGGTCCAAGGTGTGGGCATAGTACCAACCAGACTCCTTCCCTGGTTAATGATAAGAGGAAGAGTGTTTCTTCCTGTTTAGATGAATGCAAGATGCTGTGGGCATCTTTCCTACCCATTGTAGAAAGCCAAGCAGAGCAAGAGAGAGGCGTGTAGAGAGGGTGTTAGCAGCCTTGAGTCCCAGCTATGGTCCTCAGGACCTTGACTCCTGTCCCTCAACAACATCTTTCCTTCCTACAACACTTCCATTATTCATCCCTCATAGTGGATCACCCAAAGTTCCTGAGGTCAACAGACTAGGAGCAGCTGCCCATGGCCATGGTGGAAAGCATGAGGACTTGGGAAGTTATTGTATCAGGGCATCTTGGGTTTGGGTCCAGGTATTGCATTTGCTAGCTGTGTGATCTGTGTTGTTTGAGTTTCTTTGTCTATAAAATGGGCAAAGTAGGGATGGGGAGATGGCTCAGAGTACTGAAAATGCTTGTCATGCGAGCATGAGGACCTGAAAGCCAGGCATGGTGACTCATATGTGTAATTCCAATGCTGGGGGGAGGCAGAGATAGGCCCACTGGGCAGTCAGCCTAGTGTAACTGGTGGTTGCCAGGCAAGTGGGACATCCTGTCTCTAAGTAGGGGGATGGCATTCCAAATGTCCACTTTCCACTAACTGTGCGACCAAATCACAGTTCCCAAGCCCCAGTTTCCCTCTTTGTCAATAGTTTCCTGATAATCTCCTTGAGAACTAAGTAAGACAGTCCATGAATAGTACTCAGCACAGCCTTTAGCGGGCAGTCAGTACATATTAGTGGTGTTGGTTCTGGGATCTGGAAATTTTCCTGAAAACAATGTTGGGAATGAAAGGATCCACGCCAAACTTATGGGAAATGTTTAGAGTGAGGCACATATGAATCTTCAGAAAAAGCCACTTCAGACTGAGAGGGTCCCATCTAGCCCTCTTTGGCTAGACAATGAGGCTCATTTTGGGAAATGCACAGCCCAAGACATTCCCGACATTTACTGTCTGTCATAATTTCCTCAACAAGCTTCTCAAGAGTTCCCACCCCACTACCCTGGCTCTGCACACCCTGCTTGCTCCTGAGCCTTCTGACCCATCTGTAGCATTGCCGAAGTGGAGTCAACCTCACCCAGCAGAATCTTGTTCTTGCCAAGACCAACAGGTACTTTTCTTCCTTTGTCCAAGGTGATGGCTTTGTGGTTCCTGGGCCTAAGGACTCTGCTTGCTCCCTGAGCCTTGTCTTCCGTGGAAGAGGCACGTGGGT